AACACTTTGCCAAATCAAAATAATCCTAATCTAAAAGTTCTTAGAGAGATGGGGAGAAGAAGAAGAAGAAGAGAAAAAAATGAGATCTCCAGCCTCTGTTGTCGTCCAGATGCCTCAGGGTGTCTTCTTTTAAGTTCTGGAAAAGATGTGTTAACAGATCACTTCAAAACTTGCTTCAGATCGCGTGATAACTAAATAACGATATCTGACACGGTTGTATAGATCAATACGATCAAGCCACATTTAAATTATTTTGTTGTGCTCTTTCTGGGCTTTTCTATATTCAACACTCCTGTGTTGTTAGACACTAGGGAACCATGTTGCCTCTTTCCATGCATTCCTTGACTCCTTCTTGACTCTGAATCCGTGCTAAGCTCCAGTAATTCCTACACAATATATAAATAGAGTAGTAAACAAGAACTAGGGATATTAACATGGCCAAAATGCAAGGAAATACATTAAATAACAATGAATTCGTAGGTGAAACATAGTCAAAATATAGAGAATATTCATGTTTATCACCCCTTATGAGATCAAAATGTTGATAGAGAAGATCGGTGCTCAGTCTTATACCACTCGCACAACTGAGGGCAAATTTCCACAAGGAACCAAGTTCGATACCTTCTTATGGCATACACAGAGGTAGATCCAGCCGACGACTCTCCTGGTGGGCTACTTAGCTATCTGGTTGAAGAAGTGTGTGGTGCCACACCAGCCATATGATGCGCTACCGATCGAGGTCTTATTCCCAGCCGTTGAGCTCACAATTGGACACAGGCTCTCTCTACTTCCGACCATGGTTGCTGACATTCATAGTGGCCTTCAACACTTGGTTAGCGGATTTACGTAAGAAGGAAGTAAGCCTTCAAGCGAGATCGCTACCGCCAAGATCGAGTTGCCCTATACATACCTAATGGCTTGGTTCTCCATCTCCCCAACCTGATGACGAGACTCGTCGTTGCAAACCTGAACGTCCCCTTGCTACAAACATTAGAAGATTGCTAGTGGGAGGCTCGATAATGGCATGATGTGACATGACAATTTTAGGTTCACAAATGCTGGGAATTCTTTAAGTGCTTCCCTGAATTCTTTGCCCATTATGACGAATTGTTAGTCGACGATGAAGAGCCAGAGATGAGTCGAACTGTTCTCGATGTGGACTACTTCTATTGGTTGGTGAACATCTGACTTGGATACCTTCTCTTCTGTGTGAAGAACAACTACAAGATCAAGCCTTACCTTCCTTCCCAGTTTGCCCATCAGTTTGGTTACGACTAGCTATATATCTGGAATCCGAACAAGAATCTAAAGGTTCGTGGAGGTCTCATTGACAGAGCTCGCGCATAGTTTTGGAGTATAGCGGGCTGCACTGGTGCTAGATTTTTCCTTCCTGCTGCAAAAACTTAGCGACAAATGACCTTCCCCTGTTGTAAGTGGATCATTGCTGCCAACGCATCCACAAGGTAAAAGGATATCTCAGAGTTGGAGGCGAAAGTGGCAGCCAAACAAGCTGTTTATATAGTTTGAGAGGCTGTGCTATCAAGGAGGGGGGAGAGGCTTGTCATGTCTTCTGGCAAAGAAAAACAAGTTGCCGAGGAGGAGGGGACTCTCCTAAATGATGAAGAGGAAACTTCTGAAGAGGGTGTAGCTTGAGGCGAAGGCACAGAGGCTAAGAGTGATGAAGAGGAAGAAGAGATAGGTCTGCCAGCGTCTTTCTTCCCTGGAGGGGGTACAAGTTCGCAAATTACCTGTCGAACTCACCTATCCGACCAATCCGGGTCTCCAACGGATCCAAAGAAGTCGAGGAGGAAGGTCCTATTTACTCATCCCCACAAGATGGCCGTTTATCTTCTGGGTGCGGTTGCTGGCAAAGAAGAAGAACCTACCGAAGCTGGTCTTGTGCACCGGGAGAGTTCCCGGACCTATGAAGCTTCTCCCAGGATTAAATTATGGACCAAGTTCTGACAGGAAAAACCCACCCTTTCTGAAGAACCTGGTTTAATAAAGAAGAGAAAGAAGCTTGCGCATTGGTTGTGCACTCTGCTACCCATGTCAGAAGAGGAACCGGTTAGCGACGTCCCTATTGAGGGAGAAGGTATTTTCTTATCTCTCTTTTTGTGTCACTTCTCATGCTTTGGTTCACCTGTTCACTGAGTATTTATCCTTCATTGTCAGTTTACAAGGGGTCTTGAAGAGGGTGAGATTCCATACGAGCCTGCTTCTCCTGAGTTCACTCACTTTGAACAATCAGGCTTCACCTAACAAATGCGTGAAGCTATTAGTGAGGAGCCTCTAAGCATCGAAGTTGGCATTGATACCGGGGTTCAACTCGACCTAACGTCTGAAACCACTGCAGGAACATCTAGCCCAGGTATATCTAAAATAGATAATACCTCATTCAGGTGGTAGTTAAGAGAATTGGACGATTCAGAATCTGTGCCTCCTTTAATCATTTATGTGCTTCATGCTCTTCTAGATAAATTGAAGGAGGCATGCCCAAGTGTCGAGGCTGCGGAATCTGCTGCAACCACTAAAGGTAAATCTGATCTCCACTTATCGTGAGTTCTGGATTTTCCTTCTTGTGTTTAAGATTTAGTTTCTCTGTAGATGTTATGTTGGAGGAGCCTGTTGCAGAGGACGCTTTTCATGATGTCAATATCGGGGAGTTTGATGAACACTCCCTTGATCAAGTGACGGGTTTCTCCGAAGATGATCACAAATTGCTCGTCGATATATTATCAGAACAAGCTCACCGTGAAGCCGCAAGACCGACCGTTGAGGTTGGTTCATCTACAGGTACGAATTTTACCCTGACATTGTTGTTATTCATTAATCACAACGGAGTTTTGGTTATAAGACCAGCCACTGGAGCTGATACAGCTACAATTGTAGGAACTTAGGACCAGTCTAAAGACTTAGGTCTTTTGATGTTAGAATGGGCCCTCACTAAAACTCAACCATCCACTTCTTAGCCTGAAGTTGGTGTTCTTTCAGATCCGATGGTTACGAAAGCCACAGATAGAATTGAGGCTAGTTCTGTTGCTCCAGTCACGAGACCAATTGGTGAGGCCGGTACGTCTGCGATTGTTTTATCTACACCAATTCCACCGACTCATGTGGCTGGGTCAATGGGGCTAAGTGTAGAACACCAAGCCGAAGGATCCTCTACCAGCATCGGTAAGTTTTATCTTGTGATTATTTTAAGATTTTGAATATTGATCGTGCTCTTTGGCATACTTATTTCCTCTTCTTTCCCTGTAGACCTTTCGTCATCCCATACGACTCCATCAAAGCATTAATATCAGATGACGACATAGATAGAGCCATAGTTTGCATGGAACTCCACAATTTCGCTTCCTTTGTGAGCGTAATGATTGACAAAATCCTTCATAAAGGGTTTTCCTTCGACCAATTTAGGCGATCTCTTGATCGTTAAGTGACGGGGATTAAAGAAAAAGGATATCCAGACTTGGCTGATTCCATCACAGCGGATTTGGCTATTTTAGAGCATGAGCTTCAAAAGTGGAGG